TCTTAAAATAATATAAATTTATTTTTGGGTAATAAAGGTATCAAAAGTAATGTTTTAAAAAGTTGTCAGTTTCTTATTCGCATACATTGTGTTTCGAACGTGTTAAGATGTTTGTGTCTTAGTCAACAATGTACTTGATAAAGTGTGATAACGCTTTACGCAAAATACCGTAATTCCGTTTCTCGGACATGCCAAATGAGTTGCGGTTAGCTGTTCAACAAACAAGTAGAATACGGAATAATTGAGTCATACAATCTTCTAGATTTCCCCTTACCCATTTTGTTTAAAACGTTCATAGTAAGTAGTTAAAATAGTTCCTCACCACATATATTTATTCATTACTAAATTCTGAGCTTACATTATTATTACAAATACAATACAGCGTATAAATTGTATGTTATCGTTGTTATATTATAGGTACATAGGTTATAATTAAGTTATATATCGTTGTAGCCACAACCTAACACTGCGACTACGTATTTCTAAACAAGAATGCAGTTCTTAACAAGGAAATACGCCGAATCATTAAACATTCCTTGCCGCACTTGTATTTCTGCATTCAACGTTCCAAATACGTACAATTACTCGTTAGGACCTTTTAAAATATCGGAAAGTAGCGAAAGTGGCAACACAGGAATTGGCGGGAAAAACACATGGAGGCCATCTTGTTTTCTTTCCTGTCATGTATTGACTATTGTTATTATTGTTGAAATAACCATTACGTAGTAAGTATCCTTCTTCATTTTCTAAGCAGTCATGTGAGACGTGGGTAAATAATACGGCATCACGTAATACATTTGTATGTAACGCTAGTTATAATATCTATAAAGGTATCGTTAACTTGGACATTATGTAATTTAAAAAAAATCTTATGAAAGTCGAATAATTCGTTGTTTGACTTTTGCACAAAACCTTCCATTTTAACAATACTTTTAACAATTAGGATGAGTTTTGATCACATTGAATATAAAATATAGTGAGTGAGATGACTAAATTGTAATTTTCACATTTTATCAAAATAATCTTAAAGAAACCATAGAATTTCACTGTCCCTAATCGTTTTTCTAAGCAATTAAAAGCATTAATAAACATGACACAATTTACATAAGAGAAAATTTAGAGATTTTATTTACTATTTTATTTTCAAAAGCTCAGCAATAATTATATGACTATTCAATACTTTTAATGATATACCTTATGACATTTAATAAAATACACTTGAAAAACTTTTGTGAGGTGTATTACATTTTCAAAAAACGCCAAAAATTTTAGTGACAGATGACATTTTAAACGGCATTTAAGTTTTAGGAACGAAAACACATCAGGCGAGCGCCATCTATTGACAAAAATTCTATTTTCTAATACTAGAGTTTACGTTTGCTATAAGTTATAACAGATACGCCTTTAAAATTGTGTCAGACTTGCATTAGACCTTTCTGGCTAACTCGTTAACTAGATTAGCATTGTTTTAGAATGTCATACGAACTAGGCTAATTCTAGGCCAGATCTAAATCAATAGAACAAGTGATTAACGGTACCACCTGTTTAAGTTCAACAAGGACGCTTTGCAACTTTCTCCGAGGCGTCTTGTTACCGGGTAACCTAATTCCTTATATTTGGGCGAGGTCTCAAACGTGATCGTATGCGATTAGATTAATTTTGTTTGAAGACTGTTTGGCTTATGTTAATTTTAGATATAGTATTGGAGCTTAGGTGTCTTCAGCAGCAGCTTGTACAACAATACCTTATAAAATGAATCGGCAATTACACCTCTACCCCTCTAGCTACAGATGCGTTATTACAATTACGAGAATTAAAACATATATACATACATGTAATAATTTTCCTAATAGTAAAGACAAAAATACTTTGTACAAAATCAATAATTTTTACTAAAGAGATACACATGCGACAAAAACATTACAATTTACAACTCTTGGCACATAATATAAATATCATTTGAGTAAAAAAATATTATTTCACAGGTCATTTACTTGTTGCAATTAGGTTACTAAAATGTATTCTTTCGGCTGATTCATAAACTCATTGTCCATTGTCAAACCGGTTATGTAAATGTCATACCCAATGGAGTGCTAATTCTGAATTATGAACTAGAACAATATTAATTCTATTAAAAGCAGAGAATACATATTTCAAAAGAAATATTAAATTTGCAGGGAAAATGTCTTTTAAGTATTTTACGCACACTAGTTAAAACGTCAATAGTCAAGATATAGTGTCAAAAACTTTGATTTTTACATACGTCATATTTCGCGCCAAATCTTAACTTTATATGTAATCTGTCAATCCAGCAAGTATCGATAATCCATAGATACAAAATTTTGAATATTGACATTAGAAACCTCAACGTACTATGCAAATGCAACAAGCGGAGTCCTGCATTCCTTTGTAAGTGGGTTCCACTATGCAGTTATCTTTAGAATGTATCTGATTGTACATACAAAACAATTTTCGTTCGACTCGGCCGTTTCTCTACTATGAGGCAACTAGTTCAATTCGCTTCTATACCTTTTAAAGATAAATATTATTTTCCTGACTTAAAATCTTTAGCGAGATTTATTTATAAGCCTTAAATTTGTCTTCGCTCGAATGTATGTTCACTATGAATTCGTTAATACATACTTGATAATCAGTTAAGCGCCTAAGTTTTTCGAGATATACGAGATTATTACAGTCGTTAATACCCAGTATCGCAAGGCCTCAGGCCTCAGGTCAATTTAAAAAAATAATTTTAAATGCATTACTGCCAAACAAAGCGGCTCTTGACATTCTGATATAAGTTCCTAAAGGTTTGGAAAGGTAAAACCAGAATCGAGTGACTGTAATTATAAATTTAATTTGCAATCAATGACTAGTTTCGTCCTTTACGTCACGTGCGACATACGAAACTGGTTTGGCCAGTTAAGTTTATTTAATAATCATTTATTTTTCGTCAAATTATTTAAGTCTGTAAAATTCACTTTTCTAAAACACGAAGATTTAAAAACCTCTAAGTAACTCAGACAATTTATATTACAATAATAAAAAATGTGTGCGTGTACTAGGTGTACACACGTAAGAAGTGAAACTTATATAAAACCTTTGTTGTACGCAGAGCCATAATTGGTTTGTTTTAAGTTTAGAGGTCCGAAACTATTTCTTTAAACACAGTAAATTTTGATACACTGCCTAGCATACAATTTACAAATTAATTGCTGCAAATTGCGATTAGCAAATTTCAAGTCGAAAATGTAATCCGTTGTCAAACTTCAATGTCAAAAACATACTATATGTCATATTTTAACGTCGATAAAGAAGTTTGACTTCGAAAATGTAATCCGTTGTCAAACTTCAAAGTCAAAAACTATTGCGCTTGTAACGTCGATAAAAATGTGACGCGTAACGCAAAAATGTTACACTAAATTTTTTTCCAACCCCGATAAAGAAGTTTCACTTCAAAAAAATATTTTTGTATGTTCAAACAGTCATATCAAATTTAGAATTTAACATACACAATACACATTACAAACCATTGAAAATTTAATAAATAATATTACGTACTTTGTTTCGTGACGCAACGTTTAATTAACAATTTTCACATGCAATTAACTAAAGTAATCCGGATGTTAAATATCCGTTTTCTAATATTTAATTTAATATAACATATCGTAATTTGGCTAGATTTTGCATGGTGGAAATATTTTAGTGGGAAATAATCCTGAACACTGTTTCCTCGCTTGAAGGTAGCTCAAGAGGTTCTACTTATCACAGGCAAATGTAGCAATGAATTTTGTGTTATTTCTTTTGGTGAGAGAATTGGCGATTAAAAAGAGTATCGGAGATACCAGTATACTTGCCCGTTCTACGCCCTTGACTTGCGAATTGGTAGTAAGTGTAAATTTAGAATCAATTTATTATCTGTTGACGTTCATAAGTGTACTTGGTTACCTATATGAATAAAGTTATTTCGAGTTTGAGTTTGATTAGGTTTGAGTTTGGCTAGGAAAATTAAGTATACTACGCTCCGTTCAGGGATCGGACCCGATACCCTAGTGTAGGGAAGTCAAATTTATACAATAAAGATTTACTTTTGAATGCGTTTTTATTAATAATGCATTCTTGGAATCTTTGCGTCAGGCGGATACTATTCGTAAGCATTATGACTCAATAATTGGGTATTCGTAAATACATAATTTATCTTGCAAACGTAGACGTCATTCACATTATTATAAAGTACGAGCGAAAATCTTTGTAGTTGTATAACAGACAATTAACAAAAATACCTTCACAGAAATACAATCAAAAAAGCATATGTGCGATTCACACATGGTAGAAACTAGAAGTGAAACCTTCAAAAATTGAGGTTTCAAGATAATGAGACGAATGTAATTTTAATATCAGTTATTAATTTTGATAGAAACTAAAATAAATTAACAAGTTTTTATAATTAATAATATGTAAATTAGACTTTTTTTCACTATCTAAATTTAGTATTAATTTTTTATTTTAATTTTAAATTTTCACTTGTAAGTTTACTATAAATCTTTAATTGATTAAAAGTGACAGCAAAAAGACACATTTATTCACAAGATTTAACGAAAAGAAATGAGATAGGATGCATTATACAGTGTATAAAATTAACTGTCGCTTATTCGTTTCATAGACTTTCAAATCAGAACGCTAAAGAAGTTATCACTTCAATAACAACTGAATGATTTGTATTACAAAAAGCATATACAAAAACAAGATACGTTGAAAATTAGTAGTTAATTCATGGATTTACAAAGCTATATTAAGATAAAAACCAGGCGCAAATATCAATCCTTAACAAATTAGTTGCATAATAATGCACCAAGCGCTGGAATTGGAAAAAAAGTTCTCATTCAAGTTCAAACATTATCTCTAAGACATACCTACTCAGAATTCTACCCCAAGCCTTTACGAGAAATAAAAGTTTACGTTCGTTCAAATAGAAGGTTACACGGTTAGTAGATTATAGAATGGATACACAATTTCGTAAGTCCTTGCAACAGCAAAGAATGAAGTTGCAATTATTCGGCTGATATGTATTTGATTAATCGCCAAATATTGCAACATGAGACTCGTTTGTACATTTAAATGTCATCGGATAACAATCTACGTGTGATATGTTTTTAAAGTTATGTTACTAAGGTGAGGTATAGGCAGTAGGTTCTGAAATCGATTAAATTCCGTTATGAATATCGTCAAATATGTTAAAAAACCACAACTCTTAAACAAATCGCAAGTTTATAATATGAGGTTTTGTTAGCTTTTAATTAAATATTATTAGTTTGGACTTTTGGTCAAATCCAATCCAGCTTCGCAATATGCAATTTCACAATTAAAAAAAGTATTTTTTTTCTATATTGTCTTTTTAATTTGTATTAAAATATGTAAACAAAATAAAAAAAATATATTTTCATAATATTCGTTATTGTTGAAAATCAAACTTATTGGTAAAATGTCTTATTCCAGTTGAGATCTACCTATCGCCCGTGGAGACGCACTGCAGCAATGTGGATTACTTCATACCAGACGAAAACAACGAGACCAGGGGACTATCTGATGACGCTATGAACAGGTATAAAAAACATTATACATTTTATAGGGACAATAAATTGATGAATTTAAAAAATAATTCTAGGACAAGTTATTTAGCATAATCTCAATATGATTATATTTTTTTTTTTTTGCCTACTCTTATTTATTTATTTCGTAATCCTACAGCTAACATAAATTATATATAATAACAAACAGACTACTTTAAACTTTTAGAGAAAATGTGACCACAACAAATTATTAATTCTGCTGTATTATAAATATGAATTAGCTGTATTACATAAAAATATATGATCAGTAAAATAATCTAGTCTCTGTCTCTAATCATAGAATATTTCAATGTACTATCAAATTATAAGGTTGAAGGTATTTTATTTTATAGTTCATTTAAAAATTACAGGTTGCACATGGCCCGGTCCACGGTGGCATTGTTCATGGTCGGTTTCTTTTCACTCTTCATCGCTTTCTGGACCGGGGTCGTTGGCTGTTGGAAGAGGAGTCCCGGAAACATCACTGCTACAGCTATTCTAATGCTTGTCACTTGTAAGTATTATGCTAATATATGTCTTAATATATAGCATTAACGTTTTGATTAAAGCGTTTTTAAATCCATACAATATAGAATTTATTTTGATGTACTTTTTCGCTTTATGTAGTTGGGTTTAATAACTTAAATTGAATAAATATCTGTCTTAAATAGTTCATTTATGGAGGGACATAGGATACATATGTATATGCCACATTAATGTGAAGTCAAAATTTCGTTGAACCCATCCTATGTGAGAACCCAGAGTTAGTCGACTCAAACAAATAGAGTCCTTGCCGAGTGATATGTGTGAACACATAACTTCAAAGTTGCACTTTTGATCTTATTTCTGTTTTGCGTTATATGCGTTATGAGTTTCATCAAAATAAAATCATTCGTATCAACGTCAGTCAACAACAGTCCATTTTAACGGTAATTATGCATATTAATTCAAAAGTAGCTGTGTCTACTTACCATAAAGTAAAACTTTCTTTCCTTACCTATGTAGAACAATAAATTGATAAACCGCGCAGTGATGGTCACGACCAACGTGGCAGGACGTACTCCATTGTTATAATTTCCAATAGAAATATGCTACATTACCGATAGTGATCATTTATTAATAATTTTTATGTCTTTGTTTTAATACGTGCTTTTTATAAATCGAAACAGAGTGCAGTCCTAGGTTTAAAAACAACAATATATCGTCGTGTAATATAATCATTAAGTTAAATTACTTAATAACGTTACGACATTACATAAACATTTTCGTTGTTCTTTTTTACTATTGTAATATTCAGTTAATTAATAAGCGTAATGTATTAGTTTATTTTCTCGTGAAAGTAAATTTGTAATGTTTTTAATGATAAATAAATGTATCAAGCCGTAAGATTATTTTATGAGTTTTCGGTTAATTATGCATAAAACGAAAAAAAACCTGTTTTGTATAAAGCTTGCTATTGTGATAGTTATATTAATACATTCAAGAATACCGCGCAACAGAGTGGGGTTCGTACGTTCACATATTGCCGCTAGATGGCTCTCGAGTCACAAACAAATATTAAAACCTCAGATTAAAAAAAATACCGTTCAGCCGCTGTCCTAAGTACAAAAGCAAAACTTTAATGTCGTGTATTCGTCTAATACGTCCTAATATATCGAAATTTTATGCTTACAAGTCAAATTTTGTGTTGAGAAGTATAATTTTCTACAAAAAATTACTAATAAATTATTACTGTTTTCAGGTTTATTGTCCGCGGGCGCAATGGCGTTGTGGCACGGAGTAGAGTTCTACGAAAAGGAAAAGGTCGTCGGAGAGGAATATTACCAGCAATGGCCTAACGTAAGAACATAATTACGCCAATATTAGAGTAAAATAACAGTTTTAATCGTAATAACAATTAAGTAAATTTAAAAATGATAGGACAAGTGTCCTGTGAATATAGTACAGAGAACCTTTTTAAAGAATGCTAAGAATACCTAAACATTTTTGAACTCTTCACTTTTTACACTAAGGTAATTTTTTTCGAAATATGCTTTGGTCGACGATTTTTACACCTTTCTTTAAAAAACTGATTAAAGTCCATTTCGTCTATACACTGTGATAAAAGGCCAATTGCTAATTTAGTCCAATTTTTATTCGTATCTGTATTATTATGATAATTCGTTTTGGTTGGGCAGACGATATTATGTCTGACGGCTCTCTTTCCGCAGAGTATAATTGGTTATCTTGAAGGTATGAACATCGGATCTGTAGGATTTCACTTATGTAAACAACAGGTATTGAAAGACAACTCCTCGGTATGGTACGATTGGTCATACATCCTGGCCTGGTTATCTGTGGGCGTTTCCTTCGGGAGCTCCGTCATTTTCTTCTCTGCAGCTGTTTGTTTGAGCAAAGAGAAACGGCGCGAACAGCAGAATAACGTGCAGTACATAATGCCAGGTTAGGCCGCCATATTGGACGCCATCTTGGTGACTTGAATTAACGCTTGGCGGTTGAAACGGTCTAATTTCGTTGTTTCGTGTTTATATATCGGTTTATTGTTTTCATATAAGTATTCTATTTAATTTCTTTTATTATTTTTATTTATTTATACTAATTCGTGTTAAGCGACACGGCATATTTTACCCTAAGAATTAATCGTATTAATAAGAAATACTAACAAAAATGCTTTCTTTCTTTTCATGTTTCTTCCGAAACGTGCGTTTGGCGACTGATCTGCGACCAAATAATCGCTCCTCGCTATATTTCTTAATATCTGGTTTACGCAATACTAACTCGCTTACTGATTAACACGGGTGTGTACATAACTCTATACACGACTCTTAATACTTTACGAAATCTTTTACACATTTATCCATTTATAATAAAATACATTTACACAAATGTTTTATACATAAACGCACACGACACACGGTATAAACCAGATATTACGAGATAACAGTCGTATCTGGTACGACTGGTCGTACATCGTGGCGTGGTGCGGCGTGGGTCTCTCTCTGGTGTCCGCCATTTTGTTTTCGTCGGCGGCCATTTGCTTGAGAGGCGAACGGGAACGGGAGGAAGCACTTAACATGCAGTACCTAATGCCCGGTAATGCTTAAGGCCCTGACTTTCATTTTTATCAATATAACAATAGGTTCAGATTTTTGGCCAATTGAGTTCATCAGTTTTGTAAATATTTTTGGTGATGTGATAAAAGGGTGCATGCATGCAGTTAAATTTTAACATAATATTTGTGTACATTTTATTATTTGAAGTTTTTTGACATTTTCTGTTCCATTGGTCATTTATTCTCGTTTTTATCTTGAAAGTTATATAATTTAGTAACAAAATTGTCAACGACAACTCACTGTCATGATAAGGTACTTGGTATAAATAATCCATTTAAAAGAAATTACAGTTTTTTGGTCAACTATTAGTAATGTCAAAGGAAACAAATTATTTATCAACAATATTTATTTACTAGCTTCCGATCCAAGCGTACTAACGTATTGCGGTTTTCCAGTGTACCCTCAGAAGCAGCAATACGCATACGCCGGGTACCCTCCGCCCCAGGCGTACCCGGGGCCGTACTACCACGGCTCCCAATACGGGCCCTACAACTACTGAGCATGTGACCAGATGAGGGAAGAGGCGCACTTCGCCAACTCCCCCGCCCCGCAGGCACCCGCGCGCAACCCAGCCCCCTCCCACACTTCCACTCTCGAGACCTTCAACTCCCACCGCCAGATCAGAAGACCCCGACTCGGCGAACGGAAGGTCTACCGACCGGTCAGACGGCACACGCTCTCGCGTATCGACGAGACTCCCCCGGACACCCCGGGGCGGCCCAAGAGCCTCCAGAACTCCGCGGACATCTCGTCCGCGAGGCCTCGGAGCCTCCAGATCTCGACCGACTTCTCGTCGACTCGGCCCATGAACCGATCCAGGTCGACGAGTCGTAGCTTCCCGGTCTGCAACCAAAGTCAGGATATCGACACCGAGAGTCCCCAATACGCCGACCCCAAGTACGACTCCGGCTCCTCGTACGAGGACCGGCCGGCCTCGATGACCGATCTCCCGATAATGGTCCCCATGGACCCGGTCACGGGCGCCTACATCCCTTACCCGGAGTACGCGTACTACCACGACGACGGTTGCAGGCTTAACCGCCTGAAGTGGAAGTGTAAGAAGAAACAGTCCAAAAACAATTTATTCCTTGCGTTTATGTACTAGCGCGGATGCTCGCATACATTGAAGGTTATGAGTTTCGAACGAATGCCGTTACAGTGTATGACGCCACACCCATTGTAATTTTTTTCATTTTTAAATCTCCGTCTATCAAAACAATCATACACTGCTTGTCTCATGGGTGGCCCGAATCTGGTTAAGCGATTGACTTATTCCTATTGGCACGTTTTATTTTGGTCGAGTCTTCGCAAAGAACTCGACTCTGCAGCACGGCTTTACGAAACTCTTAACTATTTTCCGAACAAATTCTACGAATTTAGATGTAAAGGTTTTGAATGTTTGGAGTATGACGACGTGAACTCCGCCATAACTGTAACAAAATCACTAGATTAAGATAATTCGTCACAAGAGTGATCGATCATTGGATCCAATTTCCAAACAAATGCTCATAATTATGTATGAAGATTAGAATAGACATATTGTTAAGTGTAGTTCAATATAAACACCCATTTTACCCATAGATAAAATATGATATCTTGTAATATATTATTATTTTATCTCTGAATGTCTAATAGAGTTGACTGAATAGAGACGTCCCATTTTACATATTAAAGTACGTTTCCCAATATTCGTATAATTAATATAATTTTATATATTCTTGAAATATTGAGTAGTCAATGCATAGATTAGACGTAAGTGATCCACAATGTAAATTAATCAATTTAGAATGTATGATTATCGAGATGTAGAATATTTTCCATTTATTTGTATTTAAAATTTTGAAAAATAAAAGATTAAAATTCAATTATGTATTTTTATTCACGGATTGAGTGAAATACTAACTATATTATTAACTGAATGTGAGGTTATTTCTTTACAAAAGATTTTTTTATACAAATTGAAACCTATTCATAGTAGCGACAGTCTTGAGAAGAAAAAGAGATGAATGAGTTATCTATAAGATACAAACAAATGTACTGGCTAATAGAAAAGCAATCGCCTTATCAATATAAAACTAGTTCCTCCTTTATCAACAAGTGCTAATGCCAGTGTCGACACACGGCATTCAGCTTTCGGGCAGGTACAGCAAATGAAATTATAAATAATACAACGGTGCCAGAACAAAGTGCTTTAGGGCATTGTAAGTGCACCATGTTAAAAAATATAAGTATAGTAAGGATATGGATACAGTCCTTAATACTATGAAACGGTTTGCCTTAGCTCAAATTCAATTGATGCGACGGGAACAAGACGCCTAAAGAGAATTAAACTTTTTGAGTTACTAACTTGTGTAGTGAATATAAGCGCAAGTGCGATTATTGTGTGTGTGTATTTCGGACACACAAACATAGTGCCAGAAAATTAGCAAGTAGCTTTTTAACGTAAGTTTTGAATTTATTTATATAAATATATAAAAAAAACGTTTTGTTGGAAAGAATTACTCGTTTTATGCGGCCTAGTGGTTGGTGCACTAATTTTGTCTTTATTACGAGTACCATAATTATGGAAGCTACCATTCCATACAACATTCATGTAGTTATCTATAGAAAATTTATTCATTTGAGCAGTAAGCTCGTATTGACATTACCATTTTGACATATGTATTTGACAAGACGATTATTCCGTTTGTCTCACCAACCGTTCGATTCAATTCGGCGACTGAGGTCCTAACTTAACATGATTTAATTAGAAAGGTAATAAGGAAAGTCGTAAATAAAACATCTAATTTTATTTCATCATTTAATTTTGTACATTATTATCATTATATGGCCATAAATGGATGGAATGATTCACTTATCACATACAATGAGGAATGACTTATTCACAACACAATTTGTATAAAAGTATAAAAACACACAAAGTTACAACAGTTATTGACGTAATGATATTCGTAGATTATTACAAAAAACCATAGACCACATTAGACCTTATAGAATCGGGTCTAAATCTAACCAAACAGAACGAAAAAACATATATAATTATCATAATTTATTTTATTTTCCATTTGTGTCAAACTTTATAATTAACACGGTAATTAATTGAATTAAATAGCGTGTTAATTATCTTTACTTTATGATCCGGAGCAAGCTTAGTAAGCACTAACTAGGTAAGCACCTATTATCATCCGAATTCATGAATTTATAGTCGCCTAATCAGTTCGTAATTTACGATATTATATATATATTTGTACTAAACTGATAAGACCTAGGCTTGTCGACGATTGACACATAAAATACACATACACTACAAGTTTAACCTCTCTTTCTCTCCGATAGTGTTAGAAAAAGAAAGATATATCTGTCTCAAAAATTAGTACAAAAGTCATGTTTAAGCCATTTTCAAAGAAAAGTTAATCCAAGTATCACACATTTAAGAGAAAATACACTTTACCAATGATAATTCTCCATGGAAAAGCTGAATATTACGAAAAAGTGGTGAATAAAAAAATCTAATTAATAAACACGTTTTAATCTGGTAAAGTGTATTTTCTTATTTTAAAACATCAAAATCATCAAAAAATTGAGCATCAATATAATTCAAATTGCCGTATCTACCATAGGTCCCGGATGTGAGAGTGCCTGTTTCCGTTCCTGAACCGCCGTGACCAACTTCCGGTAGGGTCCGAGTGGTAATCCCAGTGACTTAAGATCGCTCTCAGTTAGCAGCATTAGGGCATCGAGGTCTATCTGCTCTTCCCTGAACTTGTGCGTGTATTGAGAAAGGCCCCAAGCTGTGAGGAACCGCTCAAGCGACGCATAACCGGTTTCCTCCGGTTCGCCTTCTTCGTCTGATGTTATGGTTGAGCTTCCTGTGACAGAAAGGAATGTAATGCGGCAACTTTTAATAAATGTTATTGGATATTAAAAATTTAAAATAAAATTGCATTATGAATATTTGAAATGAAAGCAAAGTTAAATTCTATATAAGAGACGGTGAAGAAAATCAACGTGAGGAAACCGGCTCGCCTTAGATCCAAAAAGTTGACGGCGTGTGTCAGGCACAGGAGGCTGATCACCTACTGCCTTGATTGACAAATGATCATGATACAGATACAAATCCGATGGCCAGACCTAAAAAGGTTGTAGGTTGTAGCCCCACTGATTTATTAAAGTGAAACTTCTTTAGGCGCATGAGGGTAAAATTTTTACGGATGAAACGCAATAATAATAATATTAGCGTCACGAAGATGTGCAGCGTTTATGTCGAAGAAAAGGGAGAGAGCGATTGAGAGAGACTGAAAAGGGCGAACGTAGCATGAAGCAAATAGCCATGGAGCGAGAATAGGAGAGCAAGCAAGTGAGAAAGATCGAGAGAGTGAGATAGAGCGAACGTCGCATCACGCACAGTGCCATGGAGCGAGAGGTTGGAAAGGGCTATAGTGAGAAAGATTGAGAGAGATCGAGAAAAAATAACACGCCATTGGTTCATGTATTCGTTTAGTAGTTACATATTGGAACTTTAGATGGAATTCTGTCGCACAACGTCTTGTGCAGTAAACGGAGATTTTTTTTTATTATCATTAGCACGTATACAGTGTGAATATAGATATACAAATACAAGGAGTGATCATATACTGGTACATGATCATCTATTGGGGCTTTTACCTTAGTAGTAATTAATTTACAAAGAAGTTTCACTTCTGACATGTGTACTTTGTACGCACGCTCTTTTATTATTTATGTATATAAATGTGTGTGTGCTAAGTCTTACCGGATTGCGTAGAATTCCAGTCATTGGGAAGATACACGTGTCTCGCAGCAAGTGAACCCGCTGATCCAATTGACGCGTCTTCACCTCCAGGGACAGACCCCAATGTCGCTGTTATCGATCGTCTACAACGGTATTAAAGAATTCATAAAAAATATTTATATGCTCTTAAATAATTGGTTTAGGCCGGTAACACAATACAAACATTTAATAGCGTTCCAGCGGTCTTATTAAGTGGCAGCTAGGTGAGGGGTACCGGGTTCGATTCCCGGTTCGAGGGCAAGTTTTAATTTAATTTAAATTTGTTCTCGGCCTTTTTATTTTAATTTTTATTATAAAAATCTTATACTTGACGCTGGCTAATGCACAAACCGTGCCAGAGCCATACAAAAAAAAATAGCGTTCCAATCAATAATTCATAATTTAAATATTTTATAATTATAGACAAGAGAATTCGTTGCAGAAAGGGACCAATTATTGACCTCGTCAATAAAAATAATTAACAAATTACCAGAAAATTTTAAGAATGAAACAAATAACTTGAGGTTAACCAAATTTTTAAAGGAATTTTAAAATTATTTTTTTAAAATTAATTAATTTTATATAAGAAATGTTATTACACTGTTACAGAGTATCTGATTGATAGACTTTAATTTCTTTGTAAAAGTTAAGTTTATTAATAATTTTAAGTATCTTTTCGAAACGCGAAGCCAAAGCAAATAAACCAAATAAATAATGTATCTTATACAAATAAAAATGTATAAGAATAGTTAATAAAGCAACTCACAATATTGCTGTGCCTAACCAAGGTCCTTATTGTAATAAATTATAACATGTCACATGTAAAATATGAACATAAGGAATGCAATAAAGATTTGAGTTTGAGAATTATGTTATACTTTATTAATAATTATTCACATCTCTTTACGAATCTTTGAAGCAATTGTGGTCGCAAAATGCTTCCTTGCGTGAACCAAAGACAATGTTAAATAATACTTTAGTAAAAAAATATAATTCAGTTGTTTATGATACCAATGTGTGTGTGTGTGTGTGTGGCTTATCGCATATATTTGGAATATATTATGCGATTAGAAGATTACATATATGAAAGATGTGATATACTGACCTAAACGCCACACTCCCGAAGCCGGGTCTATCAAAAATGCTGGCCGGTTCTTGCAATAATACTTCTTGTCCGATGCCGCTATCTTCGTTCTGCGCTGCCAAGAAATCAGGCTGACTTGCTGACCTGAAGACATCATTTAAATAATATAAATAGTATTTGAAAGTTATACATATGGCGGAGTACAAAGTTATGGTATTTAGCATGTGGTTGTCTGCTCGCCAAATAGTAGGGTCTAACGGTAAAATGCTTTAACCGATTACGACAGACAGATTTCAGACTATAATTTTGTGGAAGAATAAATGTATTACTTCGAGTTTAATTTGGTTAGTCAAAGTTTCCTTTGTATCCCAAAATCTACCTGACTTTTAATATAAAAACTCAATGGGTCTGAAATGTGTAAAATCCACCAAATAAATAGTTATTGCTATTATATACTATAATTAAGGCTGGGACCGAAAAATTTAAAAGAAATATATATATATATATATATATAGTAGCCGTAAGTTAGGAAGTTTGCGGTTTTGCTCGTTTTTATATTATCAGTACTGGCCAATCTTTCTAAAAAAGGTTTGACATTACAAAGGATAGATGGCATCAGTGATACAATTAACACACAATTTTTAATCTATGCTTTTGATACGCTATAACAGTAATACCTGGTAAGCGTGGCCTTCTGATCAGTGGGCGTGAAGACCTGTGCGAGATTGGCTCTCTGCTGTGGCCCAGCCCCGAATGTTCCCACGTACATCACTTCGGAGTCGCGACGGACTCCACTCAGTGACGTCACTGAACGACGGCCCGTCACCTCCACCTCACCGACCTAAGAATATATATTATTTTTTAACGCCAGCTAACATTAAAAAAAACTAGAAATTGCGTCGCTATAATAGTAAAAAAATATCAATCTACTAGTATTATCTAGTAATAACAAGCGCAAGGAGACAATGATTATAAAGTATTGATCATTTTATGTTTGAACGTAGTATTTACTCACCGAGTGCTAATGACAAATATAAAGCAAACACAATATGTCTCTGTTAAGTAGTCACCAGACTGAATCTAAAGTTATTATGGATTATAGGGGAAAACATCAAAAACTTCAATTCAATTCTTAACGAGTTCGAACGATTTTTAATTTTTTTTTGCGAAGGCGTCGAAAATATTTTTTTAATGTAATACAACAATAAAAAAGACATTAATAATTTATATGTGCGTATATTGAAAGAATCTGTGTGTTTTCATCAGCATAAATGCAGACATAAAAGCACAATAACACACTCTGTGTTTTTTGAATAAATAGGCAAGCGTTTAGTTGTTCTCCAAAGAAATATATAATAGTTGATTAAGTATAATAATTTTAATATACACCAGGTAATTTCAATGAATTACCTTAAAGTCATCGTTGACATTGTTCTTTCGGAGTGTACCATTTTTTATTTTGGTAGCCAATGCTTTCTTATAGACAGCACCGCGGCCACGGACGCCTGAGCTCACTGTTCCTACCAGAGCGCTGTAAGTGGGACGTGGCTGTTCATCCAATAGATTACCTAAAATTGATAGATTTTTATGCTTAGGTAATAATATATTCTGCAACGTTCATTATTCTTATTTGATCTAAGAATATGAATCGTTTAAGGATATCTTCCATCTAATATTTTATAATATTTTTTTATTTCATAGAATTTTTAAATAACAATTAGCTATGTCGAATTGCCAAAGTGAAAAATTAACTTTGAATCGCCGCTAGTCGAATCGAATCATTTATAGTTTTAATTGATCTCATTTGGTCAATAGTTATCAACAAGAACATACATATTAATAATATTAATTATACTATAACAAGAATATCATTACTAATATACGCACCTGTCACATGTCAAATCGTTATCTAATCTCCGACTCACGTTATTTAAAAAAAAAATTACGAATTTGAATAAGTTTTAATCAGGTTTGTACATTGTACAATGTGCCATCTACCCAAACAAGTAAGCTTTCCTTTTAAGAGTCCTTTAAAAATCACCTTCCATTTGTGACTTACCTTGGCTGGTGGACCTGGTCATCTTTTGCTTAAGAGCCATTAAAACATTGCTTGGTCGGTGCGGCATCGTGGTTACGTCTTCTGTGTAATTGTTCTCCCATTCCTTCGTCAATTTCTTCAACTCCTTCTCAGCCATCACCTCTGCCTTGCTTTGTCTTTTGTGATATTGCTTTTGTAGTTTCTCGTGGTCTTTTTTCGCTTTCTCTTTAAGCGATTTTGCTTTCTTCCTGTAAAATAGTTTCATAAACTTTAAATAATGTATAAAAAAAATCAGTGGCGCCACAACCTCTTTAAGTCTGGGCCTCAGATTTCTGAATCTGTTTCACGATCACTTTTCTTTCTAATAAGCAAGTAGGTGATCAGCCTTCTGTGCCTGACACACGCCGTCGACTGTGGGGTCTAAGGCAGGCTTGTTTTCTCACGATGTTTTCCTTCACCGTTCGAGCGAATGTTAAATGCGCACATAGACAGAAAATCCATTGGTGCACAGCCGGGGATCGAACCTACGACCTCAGGAATGAGAGTCGGACTCTGAAGCCACTAGGCCAACACTGCTCTAATGTATGAATATATATAAATTATCATTGAACATACTAATACGTGTATGTTTTATAAAGTCAAAGTCGTTTTACTTATTTACTATGAGCACATTTGTTTAACTCTTCGATTAACTGTATATTGCAGTGAATTGGTTGTGTAACCAAGGTGGCCCGACATTCTATATACCTACCATTCACCTTATTTATAATCAAAGTATCCGATGAAAGCATCTCCCATTTGGAATGTAAGACAGTAAATTTTTCAATATAAGGGAGTACCTAAAGAAATTCCTACTCAAATGCCCTACAAAGTGTTATGTTTTTAAGCCCAACAATTCAAATAAAGTTTTGGGTTTGAGCTTATGTTGCGGTCACCTAGTTAAGGAGTGTGTAGGAAATCAAACCCCTAGAATATGTTAATTAGCTATAGAAAGGCTGGCTGTCTGGCTTTTTTTTAAATATATTTTTACTATATCAAATCAAATTCATAATAAGATCTAACTTGTCATTATTCTCCAGCTTCCCAGTGACCTGATCAATGAATCGTAGAATATCGTCACGGCCGTTGATAGCCGCCAACTCCTGCGCAGTGTGTCCGTCTACGTCCATTGCGTATACGTTCGCACCGAAGTTGACAAGAAACGTTACGCATTCTTTATGTCCCCTCGCCGCTGCTAAGTGTAGAGCTGTATTACCGAAATAGTCGCATTTATCTGGTTCCCCACTGAAACACAAATTGGCTACTTGATATTTTGTAGTACAGTGGACTCTAGATAATTTTCGCTTCCCGACTTTCCGGTCAATACTCGATAAATTGATTAAAATCTAAGTCTCTCTAGTAATTGAAGTTAAAGAAATAGTATCTAGATCACCAACATGCGATAATTAGAAATCCGGGCTTCCCTACTCTCTATAGACTCTATAATCTGAAGTGTTTATCATGTACACTGTACAGACTTGACAATTGTAGGTATACATAAATGAGATACCCACATCTTTACCAATCCAAGCCTTCCAAACATTATTCCTCATTTAATAAAACACTTTTTTTTCGGGGGGGTTTTTTTTTTTTTTTTATAATTTTCCAACTTTTTAAAATTTTTTTTTATTTATCCCACCTTTCGCGCGTTTTTCCGGGGGGGTGGGGGCGGGGGGGGGGAAAAAAAAGTTTTGTTGAAAGAAATAAACCCCCCGGGGGGAGGAGGGTTGTTTTTTTTTTTTTCCTTTCCCTTGGTTGGGTTTTGGCAAAGGGGGGGGGTTTTGGGGGAATTGGCTTGGGTGTTCCTTTTTTTTTTTTTTTTTTTTTTTTTTTTTTTTTTTTTTTTTTTTTTTTCCCGCGTTTTTTGTTTTTTTTTTTTGTCTTTTTTTTTTTTTTTTTTTTTTTTTTTTTTTGTTTTGTTTGGGGGGGCTATTTGGGTTTAAAATTATCTCAAAGTTTTTTCTCTTCCCGGCAAAATTTTTTTTTTAACGTCATTCCAGTCTTTTAAACGTTAATACGTCATGTTAATGTTTGATGACATCATGACAAAGAAAGACTGAAGTCGCTCTCAAAAAAATATTACGTACTTCTTTTCAAAATAAAAATTTATGAATTATTGTTAATACATAATAATAATAGAGAAATAATAAATCACGAATATGATCAAGCTTTTATGCAATTGAGGGACCTCCTCGTGGTTAGTTAAACGCTAGTTATTTTGAACTCATGGTAATTTGAAATTTATATCCGAGTTCCAAATTATCGAGAGTTGACTGTAGCTATTATAAACAATACAGGGTTTTTTTTAGAAGATTAATTTTCTCCTGTCTTTTGTGTTTTTAAACTCCTTTAATTATTTCCATACGGTTGCTATAATCTAGTAATAAAAACCAGATGGCGCTATTATTGATAAAGTATGAAAGTATAATGTTTTGAGTAGAAAACTGGAAAATAATATAAAAAAAGTGTCACATGTCAGAAGTGAAACTTCTTTGGCAAACACATTTTTAAGTCTTGTTCATATTTATACAAATCTAAAACTTTCAATTACCTTACTGACTGTTAGGGGGGGGGAAAGGGAGAAAAATTTTTTTTTTTTTTTTTTTTTTTTTTTTTGACATCCAAAGTGTCGAAAATTAATACAAATATTTTTTTTAAATTTATTTCTTAGATAAAAAACACGTGGCATTTTATTTTACAATTCGTCATTTGAGATTTCAATAAATAATTTTGCATAAAATAGAAAATACTAATATTTTATAAATTCTCATTACGAAATTTTAATTTTTAAAATAAAATTTCTATTTAAGGTTATTCGCCCTTCTTACTGTCTCCCAATCGCTCTCTCCCTCTTCTTCGACAAAAACGCTGCACATCTTCGTGACGTTCCGTAAAAATTTACCCTCATGCGCCTAAAGAAGTTTCACTTCAATAAAAGGGCACGTACTCAATACCGTTATTAAATTCAATAGGTAATAATCTATTGTAACAATGTACCTCTAAATTATGAGAAGCGGTTTTTAGGAAAAGACATGTTAGTTGATTTAACTTTTTATATGAAAGACTCTCTTCATTTATTAACTTAATTCAAAATGTGTGATGAGTACCCATATTTTATTTTATTAAAGAATTATCTGGAAATAATTTACTGTGCGATAGTATACATTTGTGACATAATTGTAATGATTAGATAAAAATTTGTTTAATGGCTATTTAATATACTTGAAGAAACAGTCTTTTTCGCATATGTTGCGTAGGATAGGAACCATATCAATATAAATAATTTAGGTCTCGGCCTAAGATTTCTGTATGATTCGTAATAATTTATTGTCAAATAGGCAAGTAAGTGATCATCCTTCTGTGCCTGACACACACCTTCATCTTAATGCTTCTTCACATGCGGGTTTCCTCACGATGTTTTCCTTCATCGTACGAGCGAGTGTTGAATGCGCACATTCTCTCTTTCTTCTGGTCGGGTATTTGAACCAATGAATTTCTCTATTTATGTGTGTAACTCTTACAGTCAAGAACAAATGACTCCCAATTTTTCCCCTTTTTTTTTTTTTTTTTTTTTTTTTTTTTTTTTTTTTCCCCCCCCCCCCCCCCCCCCCCCCCCCCCCCTTAAATTTTTTTTTTTTTTTTTTTTACTCCACCTTTTTTTTTTTTCCCCGCCCCGCCCCCCTTTTTTTTTTTTTTTTTTTTTTTTTTTTTTTTCCCCCCCCCCCCCCCCCCCCCCCCCCCCCCCCCCCCCCCCCCCCCCCCCCCCCCCCCCCTTTTTTTTTTTTTTTTTTTTTTTTTTTTTTTTTCCCCCTTTTTTTTTTTTTTACCCCCCCTTTTTTTTTTTTTTTTTTTTTTTTTTTTTTTTTTTTTTTTTTTTTTTTTTCTCCTTTTTTTTTTTTTTTTTTTTTTTCTCCCCCCCCCCCCCCCCCCCCCCCCCCCCCCCCCCCCCCCCCCCCCCCCCCCCCCCCCCCCCCCCCCCCCCCCTTTTCTCTTTTTTTTTTTTTTTTTTTTTTTTTTTTTTTTTTTTTTTTTTTTTTTTTTTTTTTTTTTTTTTTTTTTTTTTTTTTTTTTTTTTTTTTTTTTTTTTCCTCCCCCCCCCCCCCCCCCCCCCCTCTCCCTCTTCCCTCCCCCCCCCCCCCCCCCCCCCCCCCCCCTTCCTCTCTCCCTCCTTCTCCCCTCCCCCCCCCCCCTAAGATGATTGATTGTCATAAGCATCGGGCATCGATCCACGATCACCGTTAAAACGATCACTTATCCAGCGCTGGATATATTCGTTAGTGGGCTGATCGGTATAAAGAAAGCATTGTTAAGTGCCTATCTCGAACCTAATCCGCTGTTCTGCTGGTATTTTTTTTCTGCTTAACAAAAATATATGGTATTTTATTATCATACATTTTAGATAAAAGAGTTTGTAGCTATACCGTAGATTAAGTACTATGTATGCTGTAAACTTTAATAAATAATTAGTGTTCAGAATTTTACAATTATACATGCATAATAAGCAACAACTGAAAATCACGGAACTTTTTTACAGGTATTATACACTAAAGGTAATATTTAGAAAAGAGACTTAGCAACTATGACGTCCTTATGCCAAAAACCCATACGTTTTTGACGTTCAGGAGTCACACTTAGCCCACACTTAGAGCCACGGCGATGAATGTTAGCTTCGTCTATGTTATTGCTTATCACCGATATTTTTAAGGATTCGTCAGAGTCAGAGCCATTAAAAGTAATAAATGTCTGATAGGAAACGCTGTAAAATATAATGTAAGATAACAAACACATTAACATTTGCACATTGTTATCGATATTCAGAGATAAGATTATGTTTTATAAAAATTTTGTAGTTTTACTAATACATAACGTTTTGCTTAGAGATTAATATTTCACACCAGCTCATTATTGTTATTTTATTATTAGATTATTTTACATCAATAAAAATTTCTTACCCTCTTCCACAGAGCAGCCGTAAAGCTTCAATGTGTCCTTCGAAAGCTGCCCATAGCGTTGGAGTCATTCCAGTTTCATCTTTGTTGTTGCATTCTTTACGAGTTGCCTCTCGCAGTACTTCAAGGAGACCATCCTTTGCTGCTCTGAAAATGTTTATTATAAGAATAATAGTCTCAACATTATAATTTTCTTCCGTTTGGAGTAGACTCTTGGTCACTCAAATGCACAGGCGCTGAAGATTGCAGATTTAAATTGGCGCCTGGTGACCTTAGAACTGGCGCTTTCCTAGCTCAACGAATAAGTATTGAAATACAGTCAGGTAATGCTGCCAGCATTAAAGGTACACGACCATAGGAACCAAGCTTTTTAAATTTAGGTTTCTATTTATCCATATTTAATTATTATTACTACTATGTAGATTAAAAATATTGTAATTACTTTATTATTTCATTAATTAACGACTGGATAAGAATTCCAAAAATTTTAAAACTAGGCACGTCAAATGTTGAGTTATTTAAGTCTGTCGTGTCTAACTCATAAGTATAGATAGGCCCTAGGTGAATTAAAATGGTTTTCTTTAAAATATTTTCGAAATTCACCATTACTATAGGCAGCGGCACGTAAGTCTAGCGCTGGCCGATACGTGGAGGGGATTCCTGCTCATGTGTACTGTCGCGCACGCAATACATTATATGCCACTTTGATTAATGATTACCTAAATAATGATATTAAGCTGAATCTCACTTTGGATTTGTTTCAAAGAATCAATTAATTCGTTAGATTCCCTTTTTAAAAAACAATTCACGTCATAAACCATTTTCCTGGCTTGTCTTTTCAAAACAGTATTTGTTCTAGGCATATTCACTTTTAAGTCACAAACAAACTTAAAAACAAACAACAAAACACTAACAAATTCAAACGTAACAAAAAACAACAAAACCTAGTCAAGTAGTGAGTCCGCGAAAAAGGGTTTTTAAAAACTTAAAGTTAAAATGAGTACAACCGGTCCGATTTGAGGTCCGTTTAATACTGTATATTACAAGCGTTCTATTATATTTATATCCTATTCTTACAGGCCTACGTGACCGTTGTGCTGACACATTGTTCTCACGCTCTACAAGGAAACGTTACTTAGTAAGAACTAAGAGTGGTTCGTAAATCGTGTAAGAGTGGTTCGTAAATCATGTAACAGCACTCCGGCTATTGAAATATAAAGGATCTTTGTACTACTATGTTGCAATGGTTTTGTTTATATAAAATATAATTATGGTGGTGACACACGGGGTTATATAACTCCTCCCTCCTGAAGAGCGAAATTATCAGGGGATTGCACATGTAAATTCTGATTATTTCGCCACTGCAACATATTAATAATCTTATTTTTTATAAAAAAAAACACAACAATTATCAAAAATACAATAAGAGAGTGCCTAAACTAATGATTTTCACTTTCACTGAATTGCCCATTTCACTATCACTTTCTCTGTTAAGTTGTTTCAGCATGTAAGACATGTGTTGCAGGTCACTAGGGTCCATTCCTTGTAAGTTTACTGGATTCTGATTTTCCTTAGAGTTCACTGGTGGCTGTAACTCCAGCAGCTTAATGGATGGGAAACGTTCTGATGACATATTTTCTGTATGAACACTCTTCTATAATTACTGTATTCTGGTAACAGTTGGATGGGTTTTCCTTGAAGGTCATCAACTCCTCAATGCATGTCGTTTCAGGATACGGTTGCCCTGTTTTCTTGTGTGCAGAGATTATAAAATTTTCCTCAGAGACTTGTTTGCAAGGCTGTATAAGCGGTAAGTATGTTACACCTTTCACCAGGATATAGGGATATTTAGGAATTATTATTAAGGTTAGGTTTTTAGGGTCATGAAAGATAGGTAAGGGATACATTCTATTATAACTTTAAGTTGAATTGGCTATTAAAGCTACCTCTAATACAAAAGTTATTTTCCTGTCTATCATGTATGATTTAACATTAATCGTATCTTTCTAATTAGCTTATTTTTATATAAAGCGTTCTAAAATTACTTATAAAAAGATTATATAAACTTAAAACATATGTAGAGTATACTGCATTATTTTCTTTAGTACTTATGTCTATTAACATTTTTTTTTCTACACGTTTTAGTCTTTCGTCCATAATTTTTGAGTTATTGTGTAATATTTCTGATGAATTAATGAGTCCATCTAACATTTTGGAAACAACTGTTAAACGCTTGTTTGTGGAAATTTTGTTGATTACCTAATTGATTTATTAACTGTTCATATCGTTGAGCATCTTCCTGATCTAAGTTTCCAGTTATCATTTTAATAATAGAGCCTAGAGGGTTCAATATTCCTCTTCGTACTCGGTGTGAAGGGATTATTTGCCTAATCTTTTCAGTAGTTATTCTTTCTAAATACTCTACTTGTTCCCTTATTCCTAAAAATCTTTAAACTAAGGCTTATCATCACTTACTATCTTACTAAAATTACTATATTTCCTATTGTTTTATTCTAATTCCATCAGTAGGCCATTTAAATCTAATACCTTAAAAATAAGCCAGTTATCTTGTTGGATGAAGGCTGTTCCCTGTCTTACGGATCCCTGAATTGTTTTCAACCTTTTGAAGTTGAAGGCCCAAACTGGGGCTCGTGAGTGTCATCATGATCACTAAGCACCACCTTTGAAGGTCGTTTTATGTTTTTAATTGGTACCTTTTTGTGTTTACCTCTAATTGTAATAGGGATGGTGTTTCTTTCAGGTTTTCCTGTAACTATGGCCTTTTCAAAACAAGGTTTGTCCTTACTTCTGCGAGTGTTTATTAATTTTGTGAAAATGGTTTTCCCTTCTGGTAACGGGACGTCGGATTCGCCACCGCGTTTTTCTCTAGAGTTTTCCTTAAACGTTAACATTTTATCAGATATGTATTTGTATAAAACTTTTATTCTTTTGGCGTGGTCTTTAATTAATTTTTGCAAGTATTGTTTCTCGAAGTCTATATTGAATGGGTTTTCAGAATCTACATGGCCAAACACTACTTCAAACGGTTTTAAAGTTGTTACAGTATGAATCGCATTATTTATTATATATATATGTCTTGTTGTGTTGTTTTATTATATATATATGCCATGATAGAGTAGGTCATAATAGATGCGGCGTCGGTACATTGTTGTTCGTATTTTGCCAGTCTGTAAATTTCGATTAAGGTGGAATGAAAACGTTCAACTATTCCCATTGAATTAGGGTTCCTAGGCGTGCCGATATGTATTTGGATTTTATAGAGTGACATCATTTCTTTCAATAGATCGTTGTTGAATTCAGTACCAGGGTCGCAGCTTATTTTCTTAGGTATACCGTAAAATGAAAAGTATTTTATTAGTGCGCGGATAACGTCAGGTGTGCCTTTACTAGGAATTTCAATCGCCTGTCCTAGTTTGCTAAAAGCGTCAACTAAGGTGAGGTATGTTTTTCCTTCGATACTAAATATATCTATAAATAATTCCTGGAATGGGGCATCTTGCGTTTGAGTTAACTGTAAATATGGTTTCAAAGGCTTTCGGTCATATTTCATTTGTTTACAGGCTTCACAAGTATTAATTACTGCTGATATAGTTTCTTTCATGTTATTCCAAAAGAAGTGTCGCCTGATGTGTGTAAAAGTTTCTTGAATACCTCTGTGACAGGTTTTTCCGAGATGAAATTTCAGAATAACGGCTTTCTGTTCATTTTCATCGTCAATAAAAACGATTCTTTCCGTACACTCATAAAATTGAATTGATCCACCTTTAAAAAGCCTAGTTACCATGTTGCTGAATTGTTTGCGATGTTCCGTATTTTCGAAATATATAAAATATTTCTTTTTGGGTTTTATGTATTCTTTCAGGAATTGTTTGATTAAATTTTCATTATCTATGGGTAGAAAAACTTCTAAGATTCTTTGTTTTTCACGGGACACGTCACGAACTTGAATGCTGTTTTTATACCATTGGAAAACTAATATTTGGTTAGGCTTCGAATCAATTGCTTCGTTTAAAATAGGAATACCGTGTGACTCAAGGTCTTGTGCTGAATGTATAGTTTCAGATTTACTCGAAAGAGATGGAATCGGGTTTGTAACTTTTTCGAAAGATTCATTGGATTTTTGCGAATCTATGTCTGAAATAGTGATTGTATGTTCAGAGTCAGTAATTGAAATTGTTCTTGAGTCTTGTGAATCGCGACGCAATCGTTTTTGTATCTCCTTATTATCACAGTTTACTTTCATGGATTCTTTATCGGATAATGCATTAATTTTAATACGAGATAAAGCATCAGCATTACAGTTTTGTTTCCCTTTTTTGTAAACTACTTCGAAGTCGTAGTCCAGGAGATTTAACCGCCAACGGGTGAGTTTACTACTGGGTTCCTTAAGAGAATGCAGCCACGCTAAAGGGCGGTGATCTGTGTAAATAATGAACTTCTTCCCATAAAGATAGGGGCGGAAATGTTTGATAGCCCAAACAATGGCTAGAAGCTCACGTTCAATCGTGCTATATTTAGATTCAGTTTCAGTGAGGGTTCTGCTCGCGTAAGCAACGGGTAAGTCGTTGCCTACTATGCCTTGAGAAAGTACAGCACCTAAGGCTATTTGTGAAGCATCGGTCGTTAGGATAAAGGTTTTTTCTGTATCTGGGTATTGTAGAAGAGGTGCATTTGTTAATAGTTCCTTACACTTTTGAAAGGCGTCAATATATTGTTGATCTATTACAATTTTATTACGTTTTTTTAAGCAATTTGTCAGCGGCTTTGTGATTTTAGCGAAGTCTTTTATGAATCGGCGATAATAACCGATAAGGCCAAGAAAACTCTTGATTTCAGTTGTGGTTTTTGGTAAAGGATATTTCAGGACTGCTTGAATTTTATCATCATTTGGTTGCAAGCCATTTTCTGTAATCTTGTGACCAAGGTAGAGAACTTCTTTACATAAAAATTCGGTTTTGTCCAATTGTACTTTTAAGTTTGAGTCTCTAAGTCGCTGAAAAACTGTTCTTAATTTATGTATGTGTTCCTGTAAGCTGGCTGAAAATATGATGACGTCATCAAGATACACCATACAATGAATGTTGTGGAGACCTCTGAGTACGTTGTTCATTGCGCGCTGAAAAGTTGCAGGCGCAGTTTTTAAACCAAACGGCATACGCGTAAATTCGTAATGGCCGTTCTGTGTACTGAACGCGGTTTTCTTTCTGTCTCTTTCTAAAACTTCTATTTGATGGTAACCTGAAGCTAAATCAATTGTACTGAAATATATAGCTTTTCCTAGTTTGTCTAATAAATCTGTTATGTTTGGCAGGGGGAATTTGTCATCGATAGTGATCTCGTTTAGGCGGCGATAGTCGATTACCATGCGATACTTTCTCTCACCAGAGGCATCTAACTTCTTGGGAACCAGGTGAACTGGTGCACTCCAGGGAGAGTGTGATTCCTGTATTATGTTATCCTGCAGTAATTTTTCTACTTGTCGATTAATTTCGTCGTTTAAAATCGGGGGTAATCTATAGGGTTTTACATATATCGGATCTTCATTTGTCGTACGTATCTCGTGTTTAACTTGGTTTGTAAATGACAACGGTAATTTTTCAGTATAAAATATGTCTCGAAACTCGTAACATAAATGTGATATGGCTTTTCGCTCTTCATCATTCATATGATCAAGGCGGACTTTATTAAGATTTTCTTTTAGGATTTCGTCAACCTGAATGTCGTCTGTAACTGTGTTGGAGTAACACATGATATCGTTTTGTTGAAAGGGCTGGACATTAAATGGTTTTTGAAATGTAATTGTGACAGTTTGGTCAGTTAGATTTTGAATAACTGTTGAAGCTTGATGATCTATGACTTTCACAAGAGCTGAAGGCATGCGGATGCCGTCACTGAATTCTGTATATTCAATTAGGGCTTCACCGTTTTGTAAATTAGTTGGAATTTTAACACGGGTTTCTGAACGTGGTTCAAGTACGATTTGACGAGAGGGGCTATAAATAATAGGTATTACTGTGTTAGGTGTTATTAACAATTGATTTTTCATGTCTACACTTGCCTGTAATTCTGTCAGTAAGTCGGAACC